GACTTGGGGCTCCATCTCACGACCCTGAGATCACGACCTGAGCCGAAACCAAGTGTCGGCCACTTAACCGACTGCGCCACCCAGGAGCCCCACTTTTTTACTTTTCTAAGCGAGGCGTGACCTCGTGTGTCAGGTCTGGACTTTTCCCACTCGGCCTTACATAAGGTGATTCTGACATGCAACGCCAAGCCAGCTCGCGTCCCCTGCTCCGTGCGGTTCCGGTAGGTGACCGCACCACTTTGCTGTCCTCGGCCACTCAGGTGGCTTTGTGGATTTCCTGTTAATAAGAGTGCCGTTAGCGCTCTTGACCATATTTCCTTTGGCACGTGTAAGAAGTTTCTCTGGGGTGTGTGAGAGCGGGCACAGGGGCGAGGCCGTCCACCCCGCTGCCATGCATGTGTGGCCTCTGAGCCTCAGTTTCTCCACCTCGAAAACCAAAGACAGAATTCCCGCTGCACCTGCGTGCCGGGCCGAGAGGGGGTGAAAAGGTGAAGCTGAGCATGCCTTCTCATTTTGGTGAAGGTCTGGAGCCCGGAAAGGGAGGTGTGCAAGCTGCAGAGCCCGAGCAGGGGACAAGCGGGGGCAGCTGTCCCATCAACGTGGGGATCCCTGTGGACATCCACCCTCTGTTGGCTTAAGGGTCTGCATGATGCCTGGGTCGCCCAGCCCAGGCCTGGCAGAGAGGAGGGGTCCCGCGGAAGCGCTGGGAGAGGGGGAATTGTCCCCCTCCGAGCAGCGCATCCCTTGCTGCGGGCTCCTCCTGGCCCCTTACCATCCTGGATGTCAGCGTACAGACACCAGTCCGAGCTGCGGACCTCAAGCTGGTGGGGAGAGGCCCCAGGCTGTTCGGGGTTCTCGCACTTTGCGCCCCGGGGAGAGGGCTGTGGGGCCATGGCTGACAGCAAGCACCCCGAGCCCGCTGGTTTCTAATTGTGTACCCAGCTTGGCTGTGACTTAGTAAGTTTGGTTGCTTTCTTCCCCCAGGCAAAATTCAGTTAATCCTCAGGCTAACAGACGGCAGATTAGAAACAACCAGATGAGAGTTACTGGGGCAGATGGAGTGACAGAGACCAATAAACTGGAATGAGCAGGAAGGGGGGCAGAAATGCTGACAGGGTGGGCCTCTCCTTGAGGGGTGTCGCTGCCCCGGGAGGGGGGGTTCAGGTCGACCTCTCTTCCTCCCCGCCCCACTCTGCCCCACCGTGTGCTACATAAGAAAGGGGTACTTGATGCATTTTAGTAAACGGCCTGCCCACAATGGGTACAACAAACCCAGGGGACTGGAGAGGATAAGCATCCGTTATCTGGAAGAGTCTCATATGTGAAGCTTAATTCCCCGAGACTCCAGGATAACGGAAGCGTTGATCTAATAGCGTCAGCGACAACCTGACTCTGATGGCGGGGGCCTTCACCGTTATTATCTGTGACACCATGGGATCCTCCTGGCAGGCCAGGAGTCCCATCTGAGGGATGCGGAAACAGGCCCAGAGAGGTTGAGTGACTTTCCAAACATCACATAGCTTTAGGGGTAGAATCAAGATTGCCTTGCAGTCTGCTGAGCCAGGGACCCCCGTGTCACAGGCTCTGGGGACCCCCTTCCTCCCCGCTGCGGGCAGGCATTCAGGCAGGTACACTGCGGGGACCCACACTCCACATGGAGCCCTAACAGTGACATCTCCAAATGGAGAACATTCTGAAATGTTTGGCAACACCGGTCGGTGTTCTTTATAGCCAGCCTGGGTTCAGGGGAGCTCAGACCGGTCCCCCCAGAATAGGTTTGGCGACTCAGGCTTCAGAACAGTAAAACCAGCCCCAGGGCCATGCCAGGCACTGGGTTCTCACGGCAGCCCCACCTGGTCTCCCCTGTTGTGGTAGCGACTTTCCAAACAAGGAAATCCAGCGGTTCGGAGAATTGTTCAAGGTCACGAGCTAATAACAGAGGATTTGAACCCCAGCCGTCAGATAGCCGAGTAAACACTCTTAACTCCCGGCTGCCCTTCAGACTGGGTTTATGGCCAAGGCCCCACACGGCCCCACACGGCCCCACAGTGACTGTGCTCTCCGCCCCACCCCGTGTTCTCCAAGGGAGTTTCCTGGTCTTTGTTTTGCCCACAAGCAGACCAGACTCAGAGGGGACATCCCCGGGGCCTGTCCTGCCCCAGCCCAGGCTAGCAGGACAGCTGCTCCCACCAAAGCCCCAAGCCAGCAGGGAGCCTGGCTCTCCCCGTCGGGGCTGGAGCAGGGACATGGGGGGGGGGGGGGGGGGGGGGGGGGCGGGAGTCTCCACCTGTGGTTTGACTTTGCCCACGTACCTCGAGGAGCTGCCTCCCATTTCCTTTGAGCCCCCAGACGGGGCAGGGACTCTCTCCCCTCCAGCCCACACCAGAATCTACCCTCGCCTGTTTCACTCAAAAATGTACCATTAATGGGGCACCTGGGTGGCTCAGTCGTTAAGCATCTGCCTTCGGCTTGGGTCATGAGCCCAGGGTCCTGGGTTCAAGCCCCACATCGTGCTCCCTGCTTAGCAGAAAGCCTGCTTCTCCCTCTCCCACTCCCCCTGCTTGTGTTCCCTCTCTCACTGTGTCACTTTCTGTCAAATAAATAAATAAAATCTTTAAAAAAAAGAAGTACCCTTTAAGAAAAAATGTAACTCCCTTCCTCCAAATTAAATAAAAACAAAAAAAATTAAGAATTTTTTAAAAATTAAAAAATTATTCAGTAAAAACAAAGAGGGGAGAGGAGCCAAGAGGCACCCTTTCTGAGGCCTGGCGCTGTGCACATAGGAGGTGCTTATTACCCAGCAGCAGCACCTCCTCTGGGAAGCCCTCCCTGATTACCAGCTGGGTTAGGTTCCCCCCACGTGCCCTGCACTGATAATTATCAAGGCCCGTGAGTCAGTAAGCGTCCCTCACCATCCCCTGCCTTGGACCAGGGCTGTTTTCTGTCCTCTGCTAAATGCCCAGGGGCAGCACCACATCCAGATGGGATGGTCTTTGTGAAATCTTGGGCCCAGACAAATGTCGTGTCAAGACAGCGAGCAGGAGCACCGAGAGGGGACATCCCGTGACGCCCGCACAGCAGGGCTAGCACGAGCCCAGGTGTGTGGCTTCAGGTTCTTTGCCCTTCCAGGGCCTGGTGTGGCCTCTGCCAGGGCGAGGGCCGTGTGAGGCTCAGGCCTACGCGGTGTGTGCCTCTCACCTACACAGCCGCCGGAGCCTCCAGGCCAAGGCAGGGTAGGGGAGACACAACACGGCCGTGTCCCTAGCCACAGCGACCGCCACTTACGGGGCCCGTCCTTGAGGGGCCGTGCACTGCCTTTCAACCCAGCCGGCTTTGTGGGGTACGCCTGTGTCGGCCCTGCCCCGGGCCCCAAGGAGACAGAGACTCCAGACTGTGTGCTGATAGGACAAGAGATTTAGAGGAAACCACCTGAGGATCAACCCTTCTTTCTACAGACGGGGAAACAGAGATCTCGGGGAACCCAGGGCTCTTGGTCAGACAGATGGACTATTCCTGGCACTTGGCAGCTGTGTGGTCTTAGGGGAGTTACTTGACCTCTCTGAGCCTCTGGTGTCCTCGGCTGTGGTGAGGGGTGGTCATGCTTGTGCCCAGGAATGCTGCCAGCATCACCGATGGGAATCCAGGCCATACTTCCCTGTCCTGTGGGTGCCATGTCTGTGCAGAATCCTGGCCACCAGAGGAATGCCTGGTGGCCATGGGGGAGATGGACAGCATCTGCCACCTCCCCGCAGGCTCTAGGACTCTGTCAGGTTGCCCACTCAGGACCTGGAGAAGGGTCGGGCTGACTCTTGCCATGGTGGGGTCCTGAAGACCATCCGGAAGGACCATGTTTTGGGGGGGATGTGGGAAGAAGGAGGGCTCTAAGGGGGGCTCAGTTCAGTGTCTTGGCCCGACTGATGGGGCCATTACTCCCCCCGAGAGGGAGGACCCTGGGATGCAGGGTCTCGGGGCACCCGGGTGGCTGGCTGGTCATGGTTGAAGAGACACATGCAGGAACTCTGAGATATGGCAGATCTCGTTCCAGAGTCGGGAGCGTGGGCATGACTGGGACCACACAAGGCACAGCGGCGGGCCATCGGGAGTCCCCGGCAGCAGGGGCAGTAGGCGGACTGGGGAGGGAGGCTCCTCCCTGGCGGGGGCGCAGACTTCCTGTGTTGGCCTCCGAACTCGAACTGAGTTCTGTGAGATTTTCCAGATTAAAACAGGAGTTGTTTTTCTCCACAAACGCATTCTGTCTGTTCTGCCCCACATCTCCCAGGCCCTGGCTCCCCGCCTGCTTCCACCCTACTCCCACCCGTCTGCCGGAGGCCCGGCCAGCTCAGGGCACCCTTCCTGGAACTCCAGCTCCCTCCCCAGCCCAGGGCGTGAGCTTGCAGGCCCCTCCACCCCCAGGACCCTTGCATCCCATCCACACCCTCCACGTGCCCCCGCCCGGCCCAGGCCCTGTCTCAGGGCTCACCTGGCCCACTGCCACTTTAGACCGAAGACAGGCGAGGGGAGCCCAGGGTCCAACAGCAGGTGTCCACGGAGGTCTGCCCTGGGCCCTGGGTGGGGAGAGTGTGCAGCCCCCATGCTCCCACAGCGTGCCTGTCTCCCCAGTCACGAGCCTCGGGCTCAGGATCGTCCAGGCAGCCGGGGTGAGTTTCTGGCAGCCCGGCTCAGTCCAGCCAGTGCCCTTGGCACCACCCTGTGCTTCTGCCACATCCAACAGACCGGCCTGGGCCAGTTCTTCCCACCCCACCCCATCCATCAGAAGCCCCTGCCTGCCTTCTGAGAGCACACTCGAACAGCTGATACGGGGGCCCGTGCTGGGGAAGCCGGGTTCAGGAAAGGGGGGCGGATGGATTGATAAACAGACAACCACGGCCAGAAACAAGGCTGCCTGATACTAAACGCGGTGGGCAGGGGATGCCACATGGGAGTCCGTCCAGGGTCCGGCCCGTGCCCACCTTCACGGCCCCCTTGTCTTCCTCTTGTAGATGAAGATGATGCCAACAGACTAGGGGAGAAGGTGATCCTCCGCGAGCAGGTGAAGGAGCTCTTCAATGAGAAATACGGTCAGTGCATGAGGAGTAGGGTCTGTGGGGCAGGGTCTGTGGGGCCAGCCTTCCTGGGCAGCCCCTCCCTCTACAACCAGCCTTGGCTGCCTCCAGTTCCACCCCCAGCTGCCCTGCCGGTGACTGGTGGGAGCTGACCCCTCACTTCCCTGTCGGAACACTGGGAAAGAACCCATCTGGGGCGCCCAGGGCAGAGATTGCGGGTCAGCATTTCCGCTGCTCTAGGGCTGGGCCTTGCGGCAGAGGCCATGCATGGCCCACGGCCAAGTGCTTGTTTGTACATCTGCCCAACACACACTTAGCCGTGAGGACTCTGGGGGAGGGCGTCCGATCCCTGCCAACCTGGGGCTCGGAATCTGTGCAGGGAGGTGGTCATGGAATAGGTAAGGGCCATGAGATGCTAGGTGAAGGCACCCAGGGTGCCAGGGCAGAGCCCAGTTGGGACAATTAATAATCGGCTGGCTCAGTGGGTGGAGCGTGCAACTCTTGATCTCAGGGTTGCAGGTTCCAGCCCCACCTTGGGTGTAGAGATTACTTAAAAATAAATTCTTGAAAATAAAATAAGATCTTAATAATAATAATATGGTTACAGTCGAGCTTTCTAGATCATTGAGTGCCAAGCTATGTTAGATGCTCTGTATACATTACATTTTATTTGATGAATTTAGTATTATTTCCATTTTGCATTGTAGCAGGGAGACAGACGTAATAAAAAATATTTTTAAATAGAATTTCAGAGAGTGATAACGGAGAAGACAAAACAGTAGCAGGATAAGGGGTTGCCTGGGGGGATGGGGCAGGAAGGCCCCTGGGAGGATGGGACGTGCGTTAGCCGAGACTAGAGACTCGAATGTCAGGAGGGGACACACGTTCCAGGAAAAGCTTGCCGGGCAGCAGGGGCAGCTGGGTGACTGGGGACCAGCAAGGAGGCCAGAGGGCCTGGGGTAAGCAGCCGGGGGAGGCCCCCAGTGCACAGGGAGGGGCGGGCAGGCCTAACGAGGAGTTGGGGTTTTGTTCTGAGAGTGAGAAGCAGCCCTGCTGGTGTTTGGTGGGGTCGTCTCTCTCACTTGTCATTGTGAAATCAAAATTCAGACACGGACGAAAATGGGTATTGGTGACCTGCCACGTCACCCAAAGCCGGCCCCCGTGATCACCAACATTTTGCCAACCTGACTTCTTTGGTGTCCATGTAGACGCTTGGGAATTTTTGAGAACACACCCAAGACACCCTGTCCTATCATCCATAAATAATTTAAGTAAGGACTTTGTAGTTTTTCTACCATAATAGTAGATCTTAAGCAGATATCACATCTCTTGTTTATCAGTTCCGGGTACGCACACTTAACATTGCACCAGGCACGCGCCAAAGGGCCTGTTTTATTGTCAGCCCTAGGTATTAGGTTTATAGTTTTGCTAAGGGGATTTAAAAAAAAAAAAAAAAGAAGAAGGTGTGTGTATTGATTTTTAAACTCTGTAGAACTGTGGCTGCCAAGCTGGACCATACCAGGATCCAGCCCTTTCCCTGGGGGGCGTGGCCTCTCACAGGGACCTCTTCCCCTTGAGCTGACCCACCGTGTCTTGTAGGCGAGGCCCTGGGCCTGAACCGGCCTGTGCTGGTCCCGTACAAACTGATCCGGGACAGCCCGGATGCTGTCGAGGTCACGGGACTGCCCGACGACATCCCTTTCCGGAACCCCAACACGTATGACATCCACCGGCTGGAGAAAATCCTGAAGGCCCGAGAGCACGTGCGCATGGTCATCATCAACCAGCTCCAGTGAGTGCCCCCAGCACCCAGGGTGGGGTGGGCACAGTGGGCCGGGGCCATGGGAGAGGGGACTGCTTGCATCCGGTGGGGAAATTGCCAAAGCAGGCCCAGCCAGGAGACGAGGGAGATGGAGACAGATGGACAGACAGACAGATAGGCGCCTCTTGCTTGCCCAGATTCCAAGAGACAGATAGCTTAACACTCTCATCTTCAACATAAGGAAACCGATACCCAGAGCGAGGACAGGGCGGGTGTAAGTCATGGTGGGTCAGCTGGGACGCAAACCCAGCTCTCTCACTCCATCCGGGTCACCGTAACACAATACTACAGACCAGGAGGCTTATAAACAACACATAAGGATTTGAACCCCAGCCGTCAGATAGCCGAGTAAACACTCTTAACTCCCGGCTGCCCTTCAGACTGGGTTTATGGCCGAGGCCCCACACGGCCCCACACGGCCCCACAGTGACTGTGCTCTCCGCCCCACCCCGTGTTCTCCCTTCTCAGAGTCCCGGAAGCTGGGAAGTCCAAGATCAAGGTGGTGGCAGATTCAGGGTCTGGTGAGGACCCACTTCCTAGGTGACCATCTTCTTGGGGCACCTGGCTCACTCAGTTAAGCGTCTGCCTTCAGCTCAGGTCATGATCCCGGGGTCCTGGGATCAAGCCCCGCATCGGGCTCCCAGCTCAGCGGGGAGTCTGCTTCTCCCTCTCCCTCTGCGCCTCCCCTCTGCTTGTGCTGTCTCCCTCTCTCCCTCTCAAATAAATAAATGAATAAAATCTTTAAAAGAAATTATACCTTGACAAAAAGAAAATACACGCAGCAAACTTGGGAAACACGAAAAGGTAGAAAAAAAGAAGGTAACCATAACTGTAACTCTCCTCTTCAGGGATAACACTGTGATGCACTGATTTCTAACTTTTTCCCCTATGCACATTTTCTTTTCAATTTTACACTAGGTGTTTTAAATTTTTTAAAGATTTTATTTATTTATTTGAGAGAAAGAGAGCGCGAGGTAGGGGGCCAGAGCAAGAGGGAGAAAGAGTCTCAAGAATACTGTGCTGGGCACGGAGCCTGATGCTGGGCCTGATCTCACAACCCTGAGATCACGACCTAACCCTAAACCAAGAACTGGCCGTTTTAGAATTAAAATATTTGTATTTATCCAAAAAAAAAAAAAAATGAAATGATTCAGAAGGGTTTCAAATAAAAAGCATTTTCCCTCCCACCTACTGTCCACCCCCTGAAGCAACTACTGGACAGTGCAAGAAACCACAGCAAAAAAATGCTCACCGCCCCCCATAGGCATACCTCCCAGAAAGAACCGCAAAGACATTCTAGAACTTTCCTTCCCCATTTCCACGTTTCTTTTAATGCCTATTAGATTTTCATTTGTGGCAAATGAAACTGAGATCATACAGTATTTATCTGTAGACAGTAAATAAAACTTTCTGTTTCTTGTCTGGCTGTCTTGTACACGCTTGAACATTATCCATGTCCCTGAGGATTCCCTTTAGTGACTGACCAGTCATCTGAATAGATAGATCACGATGTCCTTTTCGGATGGACATTTAGGCTGCATCTCATTTGGGAGGGGGGTTCATATAAAGAATGCTAAAAGTAAAACAGTAAAATAAAAATTAACACACACATAAAAAAATAACAGTGTGATGAATATCCACTTCTATAAATCTAGGCACACACTTTTTTTAAGTTTATTAAGTAATCTCTACACCCAACGTGGGGCTCGAACTCACGGCCCCGAGATCAAGAGCCACATGCTCTGAACCAACTGAGCCAGCTGGGGACCCCTAGGCACACATTTCTGACCACTTGGTCAGGCGACACCCTCAACTTCTAGACCAGGAAAGCGGGCCCCAAGGGGCGACTGGCCTGGCAGGGCACTGCCTGGTCTGGGGGGGGATGCCCGCTGTTTCCATCTGGGTCTGACGTCACGCTCCAGCGGCAGTGGGAGCATCTCCTCTTGTGAGAGCTGTCGCCCATTTTCAGGGGGCAGGTGGGAAGGAAGAGGGGAAACCCCATTTTTCTAACTGCCACCTCCTTTCTTTCTCTTTTAGACCTTTTGCAGAAATCTGCAATGACGCCAAGGTGCCAGGTAAGGCGGAGGCTGGAAAAGTCGCCTCTCTGGGACCAGGGTCTGTGGGTAGATCTGGTCCGGGTGGCTTGCAGTTGGTAGCTGACCACCTAGAGGGGGTATAGTGCTCCCTGCCCAGTGGGTCCACAGGGAGCCTGCAGGTGCCCGCGGGAGGGGGCCCGGTCACAGCACGGCTGAGTGTGTCACATCAACGGGAGATGAGGAGGGGCAGGCTGGAGCCAGGAGGAGGGGGCGGCGGTGGGATCATGGAAGCCACCTGGGGAGGAGAAGGACGCTGTGTGACCAGTGGGGGGAGGCAGGCTGCATGGCTGAGACTGGCTGGGGCTGGGGGAGGGGGGCACCCCACCATTCTGCCTGCATTTGCAGGGCACACACCTGCACCAGACACTGTCTCTTAGAACCCTTGAGTGCACTGGAAGCTGGGAGACCATCTGGTGCCGTGGTTCTGCCTGAGAAGATGCACCGTAGAAATGGGGGGACGTTCCTCGGAGTGATTGGGAGGCGTGCCGCTGGTTAAAATACACAGATCTAGTCCCAACCACATTGTACAGCTGGGAAGCTGAGGCCCAGAGAGGGAAAGGGGCTTGGCAGGGCCACGTGGGGGGTTGGTGGCCACCTCAAGCCATCCATCCGAACTGCAGGCCCAGCAAGTGCTTAGTGGGGACCGTGATGGGCCCCCATCCTGGCCTGAGACCCGAGGCCCCAACTCCAGCTGGGTCCGGGTCCCCCTGGAATGCCACGGCCTCGGGTGGCACATCCCAGCCAGGAGCCACCTCCCTCTGTCCTGTGCTGATCACGGGGGCCAGGCGTGGCACCAGATTCGCGGGTAGGGAGGTGACGGGTTTGGGAGCTGTTCCCAGGTCGAAGGCAGAGATGCAGAAGGCCCTGCCGAGGTGTCAGGAGGAGGGTTTAGGAACAGATGCTCAGAGGGCGTATGCCATGACTTGCATCCACCACTCCCTCCCACCATGGCCATCTTTAGGGTCTTCCAGTGACCCCGGGTTGGCCATGACCCTGGGCCAGCACCTCTGCCTTCCTGTTCATGTGGAGGCCCCTACAAAAATCCCTTTTCTCTGGCTGAGCTCCTTCCGCCCCCAGAATCTTCTGTTTCCCAGGATGTCTGTTTATGCCACAGTCACAGACCCCCAGCCTCTGATTTTTCTTCATCAGCTGGACAAACAGCCACCTCATGGGCTCAGCCAGCCCTCGTGCCATGTGCTTATCACCCAGTCTGGTTTCTACTCAGTGACCTGGCCCGCTCAGTCAAGCACCAAACCCTACTTGTGTGGCGCACGGTTGCAAATCTTTTTTCTAAGTCTCATATATTCCTATCAATTTAATTCTGCAGCAACAGAACCCCAGCTGAGTCCTGCCCTGTGCTGGGCTCTTTCATACACAATAACCTCCTTTGAGTCTCACATCACACAGTTTTCCCCATTTGGCTCAGAGAGGTTAATCGATTTGCCCGGGGTCACACAGCGAGGGTTGGCAGTAATGGGAATTGGAATCTGGAACTTCTGACTGTAAACCTGAGTCTCTTTGCCCGGGGACACTGCATGCTGTGAACTGTCATCTGTCTGCATTCTCAGGTTGGGGTCATCACACATCCACAGTTAAACAGTAGCGACAATATGGATACCAGCTCTCAGCTTCTGAGTATTTCTGGGGGCCCAGGCATATTACCCACGGGAGCCTGGGTCTCCCTCAACATTTCACTCGTGAGGAAATGAAGGCACAAGGCCAAGTGACTTTAAGTGACTCTCTCCAGGGCCCGAGGCCGAGCCCTTCGAGGCTGGATGCCGGGCCCTGGGAGTTCTGGGGAGGCCGGCCCCCACAGGCTGGATGGTCTGGGGACGGAGTAAGGAGGACGTGGGCCTGAACTGAGCCCGCTCGGGAGGCACACCTGGGGGGTGAGGCTCAGGTTAGCAAAGGCAGGCAGGAGAGCCGTGGGGGCTGTGGGGCCTGGTTAAGGACGGAAGTTGGAGGGCTGGGCCTCGGCCGCCGGTGGGGGAGGGGGGTGGTCGGGGGGGGGGTCTGGCGCCTTGAATGCTGAGAAGGGGGCTTGAAACCTGAAAACAAAAGCCTTCTCCCGAGGGGTTCAAAGCCGAGACCCACCGAGGGGTTCAAAGCCGAGACCCAGCAGCAACCTTCCGTCTCCCAGCCAAAGACAGCGGCATTCCCAAACGCAAGAGAAAGAGGGTCTCCGAAGGGAACTCCTTCTCGTCCTGCTCGTCTTCCTCCTCCTCCTCCTCCAACCCGGAGTCCGTGGCGTCCACCAACCCGATCTCACTCGTGGTAAAGTTGCACGGATCCGGACCTGACCGCTCGGCTCTTTGGCCTTCACCCCGCACACGGGCAGGGCTGTCTACTCTGGGGCGCGGCGTTGGGGCGCAGGGAGGCACTGGGCTCTGAGTGGGGCTCCGCAGCCTCAGGGTGGCAGACACGTGTGCCTGATCTCAAGAGATAGTCCAGCCCTGTCATCGGCTGCTCACGAGCCCCGCCCCCGCCGGGGCCAGGAAGTCACACCTCCGCTGGGCAGGTGGGCAAGCGGGAGCCCGGGAGAGGGTAGGGGGACTCCGCTGGGCGGTGCCAGAGCGGGACCCCGAGGAGACAGACTCTCGATTCCCAGGCTGTCAGAGGCTAGGCTAATCTCTGCACTCACGTCACGAACTCCGGGCCTCACCACAGCTCTGTGAGGTGCAGGTGTTACCAGCAGGGCGTGGAGGAGGGAAATAGGGGTCAGCGGCTAGTTGACGGTGGCCTCACTGCGGTCCTCCGCGGAGGGAGGACCCACCTGCAGCCTCCTCCTCCCGTGGTAGGTAGGCCTGCGTTCTCTCCCATCCAAGAGGAAAACCTCATGAGGGGCACACACACATGACAGTGCTTTCTGACTTCAGAATACTAGCTTGGAAATCCTGAGCCCCGTGGGGTTTAATATCGGAGCACCTTTGAAAATGATTTGGGGATTTATCGTTTGACTGTGCCCCCCTTCCTGGAAAAAAACCCCAAAGTTCAGGCTGTACCTTTCTCCCCACCTAGGAGTGCCTACACAGGGTCCCTAGCTCTTCCTCCATCCAAGAGCCTTGCAGAAGTGTGGAAGGCCTTGGGGCCAGGCAGAGGCGGCCTGGAGGGAGAGGGACAGACTCTCTGGGGCATAAGGCCCGGAGGGGGCTGAGTGTGTGGGGATGACCACGCGTTCTGAGCCACTCCTCAATTTTGTCTGGTCCACATGAATAGCCCCTGGGACACAGGTGGGAACAGGTCAGAAGGCCCGAGCCCAGGCTCCATGGCCATCAGTGAACTGTGTGACCTTGGACAGGTCACGTTGCCCTCTCTGGACCTTCAGTGCCTCAAAATGAATCGCATCTGAGAAGGCCCTTCAGAAAGCATTGCTAAGTGGTCTGGCGGTCTTTCCGTGTCACCCGGAGTCCTAACCCAGACCGTTTGTCCCCCTCTCTCTAGCAATGGCCAATGTACATGGTGGACTATGCCGGCCTGAACGTGCAGCTCCCGGGACCTCTGAATTACTAGACCTCAGTGCTGAATCAGGACCTCACTCAGAAAGACTAAAGGAAATGTAATTTATGTACAAAGTGTATATTCGGATATGTATCGATGCCTTTTAGTTTTTCCAATGATTTTTACACTATATTCCTGCCACCAAGGCCTTTTTAAATAAGTAAAAAAAAAAAAAAAAAGCCTGGCCCTTGCTCATAACTTTTGCGTATTCTCGTTTGGAATTACAACTGTCAGTGGGACAAGGTCAGGAAACCCGGCTCAGATGGCCTGCCAAGGTCCCCCTTCCTTGCCAGAGCAGAGGCCGTGTCCCTGACTGCTGGGCCCTGCTGTCTGGGGACAGACTTCCCTCGTTTCTCTGCCGCTGGGGCCGCGTGGCCTCCTGATGAGGTGGCACAGAAGGTTAGGTGGCAGACTGACCCCCTGGCCTCAGGGAGCGCACAGGGTGAAAGGGGGCTGTCTTGGTGAATTAACAGGAGACGTCTCAAGCGTTAAGTACGATCATCAAGCCTGGACTCTCCGTGGCTGGAGAGAAGGCACCCCGGCCGAGGGGCTCTGGATTGGGCCCGGAGGGGTGGGGCGGATTTTTGATAGAGCTCAAGGGCATCTGAGCAGAGTGGTGCGTCACAGCTGTGTCTCAGCAAGACCACTTTGGTGGCACGTGAGATGAAGGAAGGGGTACGACTGAAGGCAGAAGGACCCGTCAAGAGGGCCCCGACAGCAGGCAGCGGTCCCGTTCACTGAGGGTGGGGAAGGCAGGGTGCCCTGGGAGCACAAGGCAGTGCCGAATCTAGAACCATCTCTGAAGCGGAGACTCGAAGAGCACGGTTGGGGGAGGACCAGGACCGTGATCTAGGAGAGTCACTTGTGCCAAGGCTGGGAGGCCGCCCAAGACCTTGGGCGTTCCAGGAACAGGGAGTGGCTGGAGGTGAGATTAGCGCTCGGTGAGGATGCTCGGCGGGCTGTGCGGAACGCAGCCGAAGGGGTGAGTGGGACAGAAACACAGTCTGGGTTCTTTGGGCTGAGGGCTGAGCTGTGCACCCTGGGGCCAGCCGGCATCCCTTTTTTTTCACCCGCCTTGTGGAAGTGTGTAAGGCCTTGGGGGCGCGGGGGGCCACCACCGGATCTGCATTATATCTCTTTCGGACCTCCCGAAAGAGAAGCTGCAAGACCGCAGGGAGGCTCCTGTAATTGTTCCAGAAGAGCTGGTCCGGGGCCCAGCCAGGTGGAGAATAACAAGGAGGTCAGCCAACAGGACTTGGAACTCAGTTGGAGAGGAGCACTGGGGCATAGAGGGGTCACGGTGACCACAGGGTCTAGCCAAGGGCCAGAAGCAGGCCCAGGACTCGGAGGAGCTCTGAGTCCTGACTCAGCTAATTACACGATCAAAACAGGCCGGGAGCTTCTGCCAACCGGTGGGGTCAGCCCCGTGCCCAGACCGGGAGGGAAGGCCCCAGCCCAGCCTTCCGGGCTCCGCTTCCTCCTGGAAAGATGCCAGAAGCCACAAGGCTGGCACGCAGCGCCCCAACTGCTCCTTTCTGCTGCCACCACCTCCCTCCCCCATCCCAAGGGCCCCGGAACCCACCAGGACCCTCCACCCCACCGGCGGACCCCTGCCCCTTTCTCTCCAGGATCAGGGCTGGGGCGCCCCCCCTCCCATTCACCACCGCCCTTAAGGCAGAAACTCTGAAATCGAAGACAATCCGGCTGCTGCCACCTGGCCTTCATCCCCCGCTCCTGGAGGCCAAGCTCCCCGGATCTAATCCCGTCTCCCCCGGATTAGACGCCTCGGGTGCTTTTCCTGCCCCCCAGCACTGAGTGCAAACGCCTCCGACCCGGCGCTCCGGCCTCTTCCCCTCCGTCCCCTCCCCTGCCTCTCACCCCACCGCCCGTCCCCTTCCTTCTCCACCGCGTCCCCGGGCCCGGCCCCCCGCAGCCCCCCGCAGCCCGCTCCGGGGCCGGCTGGCGCCTCTCGATCGCCTGGAGACGAGCCACCGCCCCCGGCCAGACCCGCGGCCGCGGCCGGAAGTGGCTCCTGCCCGGCGGGCTGCTGCGCGGGAGGCGGGGCGCCGGGGGAGGGCCCGGGAAGCCCGGCGCTGCGGCTCGCGAGTCTCCGCCGTCTGTCTGCCTGTGCTCGCGCTGTGCCGACGCGTGCAATGAGGCCGGTGGTGCAGCAAAGCCTCGCGCCTTGGGGTCCCACCCCATTGCACGAAAGCAGAAGGGGAAACCCCCCACACACACACACACCCCAAGGCAAAGCCCTTGAACCCAGAGGTGGCCTCTGTCCGTTCCACCCCCTGTCTCGGGAGCTCTGCGCTCTGGACCGTGTGTGCCGGCCGAGGGCAGAGGGCGCGTTTGGGGGCCGCTGGGCCGCCCGCCCCCCTTCGCTTTGCCCGCGGTGCCCGCCCAGCCCGGATCCGATGGGGATGCCTTCCTATTTCCCGCAGGCAGGCCTTCTTCCTGCAGAAGAGCCCAGATGCTGTTTATGCAACCTCTCCAGAATTTCAGTGTACTGTACTTTTTAAAGTGATTTGATTCAAAGCACTCATTCTTTAATTAAAGTTCATTTAGCTGCCATCTGTCTGGGTTCAAAATGGCTTCGTGTTTTGCAACTCTAAATGAGGATTGTTATTGGATTTGTAAACACATCCACCAAAAAAAAAAAAAAACCCACCACCAACAAAAAAAAACAAACAACCACAAAACATTTTCAAAAGTAATAAATGAGGAATGTGCCGAAGGAGTGTCAGGAGCTGCATCTTAAACATTCTAATTGCTGGGGAATGTATTCTGGTGGGTACATAATCATTTTATATACAAATCTTTGTACAAAAAGCTGGTATCAGTGAAAAGATCAAGATTATAGAAAATGCCAGAATTATATCTGACTGAAAACAGTAATAAAGCAATAATCAGCGCAGGGACAAAGCTAGGGTGAGGCGGGAGGGGAGGCAAGGGAGGGGCAGCTCTCAGACACCAGCTCCCCTGCAGCCATGCTCCCTCACCACCCAGGTGCATCCTTTCTGCTATAAAGAAGAGGGTGATCCTGGGGCGCCTGGGTGGCTCAGTTGGTTAAGCGACTGCCTTCGGCTCAGGTCATGATCCTGGAGTCCCAGGATCGAGTCCTGCATCGAGCTCCCTGCTCGGCAGGGAGTCTGCTTCTCCCTCTGACCCTCTTCCCTCTCGTGCTCTCTATCTC